ATGTGTGATGTGTAACAAGTTGATGATTTTCGTGTGTATTCAAAATATTTTAACCTATTCTCTTATTTAGCTGGTGACACATGAGTTGTATCAGGTAACCCCGTCTAATAAATGATTCATGTATAAATGTGATAGCTGGACTCGTTTATATAAACGAATAGAATATGAATTGAGGGTTTTTTTGACACAAACTCATTTCTCCCGACATAAAACCGTTCCCCTCGACACGATTGTGAGGCCTGGTCCTGATTTTGTAAAAGGCTAATACACTTTTATCCCAAAAATCTGCATATTTGTTAATTTCATACCTAAAATATCAAATTTGTTTTTTTAAATTTTATCTTTAAAATATTCAATTAACATGTATTTCAGCAAATTGACATCATGTTAACCCCCAAATTCATCCAATTAACATTCAACTTATAAAATCAATATTCAATATTATCCAATTAACACTCAATTCATTAAATTAACATCTAAAATCATCCAATAAATATTCAATTTATCAAATAAACATCAAAGTAACATGCAATTTTTTCAAATTAATTATCAATTCATTAAATTAACATCAAATTAACATTTAATTTTATCTAATAAATATTCAATTCATCAAATTAACATTTAAATTCAACTAATTAATATTAAATTTATCAAATTAACATTTAATTTCATCCTATTATCACCCCAATTAATCAAATTAATATAAAATTAACATTCAATTTCGTCTAATAAACATTTCATTCATCAAATTAATATTTAAATTCAACTAGTTAAAATTAAATTCATCAAATTAGCATTCAACTTCATCCAATTAATATTCAATTCATAAAATAAATAACAAATAAACATTCATTTCATCTAATTTATTCAAATTCATCCAATTAACACTCTTTTCATCAAATTTATATCCAAAATCAACCAATAAAAATTCAATTTATCAAATCAATACTAGAGTAACAGACAATTTCATTCAATTATTATTTAATTCATCAAAATAACACTCAATTTATCAAATTAATATTCAATTTCATCTAATAAACATTAAATATATCAAATTAACATTCAATTTCATCCAATTAATATTTAATTAAAAAATTTTGCATAAAATTAAAATTCAATTTATCCAATTTATTTTCAAATTCATCCAATTAACATTCAATTCATGAAATTATTATCCAATAAGATTCAATTTACCAAATCAAAATCAAAGTAACATACAATTTTCTCCAAATAATACTTTAATTCATCAAATTAATATTCAATTCATTAAATTAACATCCAATAAACATTCAATTCATCAAATTGAATCTTTATTGGATGCAATCACATATTACTTTGGCTTTAATTTTATAAATTGAATATTTATTAGCATTCAATTTCATCCAATTAATATTTAATTCATCAATTTATCAAACGAATATTAAATTTCATCTAATAAACTTTCAATTCATCAAATTAACATTCAATTTCATCCAATTAATATTAAATTAAAAAATTAGCTTCAAATTAACATTCAATTTATTCAATTTATTTTGAAATTCATCCAATTAACACTTAATTCATGAAATTAACATCCAAATTCATCTAATAAGATTCAATTTATAAAATCAATATCAAAGTAACATGCAATGAATCAATGGAGGTGGCCTTATTCAATTCCAAGAAACGGAGAGAATTAACAGAGATTAAAGTTTCAAATGCCCCCAATAGGCTGGGCAGGCACTGGGTGTGGAGTTATGTGCTTGGAAAGTGCAACATTTCCTGGCAACAGGTCCCATGGAATGGTTTCATCTTGCAAGAAGCTACGGATTGGAAGGGAAGAAGCCTACCAAAAGTGATTATGAAATTGTTCAGCATCTACAGTTTATTCTTTATGAAGAGAAAGAAATCATTGGTTTAATACAATTGGTAATTAAACCAGTGAAGTAGACAAGATTGTACTCCTACAATTGGTTTAATTACAAAAAACAAAAAAAAAAAAAAACTTTTACCACAGAGAAACAAAAACAGAGAGAGAGAGACTGCACGCCTGGATAGAGATTCTGAGAGCTACAGAGGGTCTCTTGAACTGAAATGTTGAAGACAAACAAGAAGATATATGTATACAGAGGTTGGATAGTGGTGTAGAAACAGGGGAGTGAGATGTGAATAAATGGCCGGCTTGTTTATCACTCTCTACTACCTTAAGATTTGTTTGACCTTGAGGAGAAGAAGAAACTCGCCTACTTATTCATGATTTATAAATAAAAAAACTCGTGGAATCTACGACTAGATAACTGCCGTTTTATGTGCCGTCATAGGATAGCAGCCACCCTTGATCAGTCGCAAGGTACCTTCTGGAAGTTGGCTAGATTTTAAACATAGTCATTAGGTGAAAATTATAGTTGAACCATCCTACATGAGAGAAACCACAGTATAAGTGCAAATTATAGTTGAAAATTATAAGTGATGACAAACCAAAGTCATTAGTATGAATCTCCTTTTTATATTGGAGATAAGATGATTTAAGCATTTGCACGTACCAAGAAAACAAAACAAAGATAGAAGAATAAAATATGAGCAATACAATAGAGACTTAAATCGGAAATTTAATTTAATGTAATTATTGGATTAGTTGTGTGTTTTAATATTATGTGAAACTCACTTCTAATCTAATGTTTGTATTGAATTAAACCCTTAAATTAGGTCCAAATTATATTTTTCTATAATATTAAAACATTAGTCACTTAATTGGCATTTACTTGGCTAAAACAATTTATAATTGACAATAATAAATTTAGTAATAAATTGTGACTTGATGAATTTAATCTAACATTTTCCCATAATATCTTAACTAAACACCACCTAAAAATCTGTATGGATGATAGCTATAGTTAAAAGAAAAAGATATGATATCGATAAATAACTTGTTTAAGACGATAATATTATTAAATTATTGACATTGATGACTAAAGTAGTTATAGACTGAGACTTTGAGAAGCTGTGATGTTGGTAATACCCTTATTCTTTTTGGCCTTATATGTGCAGTAGTAGGTAGTCACAAAACCGGCCATTTGATACATGTTATTGCAAGAAAACTGTCATCCTTGACAGGTCCTTGTCAGGAATTAGAACGTTGGTAGAGGATTGTACTATGATTTATGAATTTTAAATTCTAAAGATGCCAAGATGTGGTGATTATCATTTACTGTCCATTTCAAAAATGTCAAATCACTACGACTTTTAAATTTCATTTAGTTCACATTTTCATTTGAACTTGTGCAATTTTACAATGCATATAATGTCCGTGAGTGGTCAACTAACTACTTTCAATTAAAGTATGTACACGACAAAGATTTTTGAATTAAATAATTTATAATTATTAATTATAAAAATAATAAAAAAGTATATACATGACAAAGATTAATTGAAAATTAAAATTAAGGTACCAAAAAAATACTTTTCAATACCGTAATACTTTCCCCAATTTTTGGGAGAATTCAAAGCAAAGGCATGCCATGCCGCCTTACTTTGAGTGGGAATGATAAGCCGGATAAGTAAGGACGGAGGCATGTTTGGGCTATGGGGGGCCGAAGCCCATAGTTAAAAAAAAAAAATTATCACTTTCATACAAGGCTACCAACCCACTAAAAACATTTCATCTAACCCAACCCAGCCCACTAAAACCATGCTAATGACTACCTGCAAATTCCCCAAAATCAGTCTCTTCTCTTTCTCTCAAACGATTCTCTCTCAGTCATTTCCTCCAAAATCATGTCTGTCTCTCTGTCTCTGTTTGTTTGATTTTGCTCTCCGTTCAAATGCCGCCCACAAGCTATTTGATCAAATGCCCCTGAATCACACACATATTTGTTTTTTAGGCAGCTGTTCGAATCAAATGTCGTCCACAAGTTGTTCCGTTGTTATCAGCCTGTGCCGCTGTTGTCTTCATTATTGGTGTTACAATGGGAAAGAAATGGTTGAGGATTGAAGGCGAAAAAAGCAAGTAACAGGATTTTGATTGCATGATTTAGTGGACACTCATTCTAATGATGAACCTCTTTATTTGTGGCTTTATTAGTTCCTTGGGGCATTTTTATATAGTAGTGCTAATTCCATATTGTTTGAGTGATTTTTTTTTTGTGTGGCTGAATCAACTTTAATAAAGTTGGTAAATATATGGGTAGAGAGCTCTCTATTTTTTGTGTGGCAGAATAGTAAGTGTGAAAGTGACGGAGCTAATCAACAATTCAATGAGTAAGTTTCAAGATAGGGTCAGCTTGTAAAAATATTGTCATTTGGGGGTTAGGAACAAGTGATTTTTAGTCAGTGAAATGGCTAAAAACATGATGAAAAATATACCTCAGATATTGACATATGAGTATATATAAAAAAAATGTTTAGTTTAGCCCGGGATAAACAAAAATCATGACTCCGCCCTTACGGATAAGTCTGTTGTACCCACAAATATCGAAGTTGATTGGGAATTAAAAATTTTAATTTTGATTATTTTGTAATTATTAATTACTAAATTCATAAGATAATATAAATAATGAAATAAATAATTTATACTTTTTAAAATCTATTAGATGAAAAGTAAAGTTATGACATTAAGAAGTTACTTTTTGATATTGTAGGAGAATTTTCAATATTGACTCAAATTTTTATTCAAATTTAAATTATTATTTTAGTAAAAAATTAAATTTTATACGAAAGACTGCAATATTAAAATTCACGATTTATGTTAGATTTGCGGTTTATTGACAAATGCAAGGCTCTCAACTATCTCACATGCTCGTCGGCTCGAAAAAATGCGTATGGTCAATACAAATTTAATTTTTATACTGCTTTAATAGATGCCATACCCCCCCCCCCCCCCAAAAAAACAAAAAAAAAATATCTCACCAAAACTCACTTCTCACATGATTCCATTGCACGAGCAATTTTGCCACCTCTTCCCTCTCTGTCTCTCTATATATATATAGATTTGATTTTGATTTTGATTATCTTTCTCTCTTCTCCTATGTTCCATCTCTTTCAAACCTTTTCCCTCTTTCACCAATGACAGCCAAAGCCACCCCCAAAGGGCCCAAAACTTTCCTACTGTGAACACCAATGGACTGCAACATGGTTGTGTGACCGTGAATTAGATCAATGGATTTCATTTTGCCACGGTTTTCTTTTTCAACTAGCCTACATGTAGAAATCGAAGTGGTTGTCTTTTCTAAAGAAAGGAAAGGACATGCGCCTGCATACTAGAAAGAAAAACATGAGAACCATGGATAATGCTATGTTTATTAAAAGTTTTACTAAAAAGTGATTTTATCAAATGAATTAACAACTTTATATCCAATCAAAAATATTTTAATTAGTTATTTGGTGAGTTCAAGAGTGATTTGGAGTTGCCAACTCATTTAATAAAAATATTTTTTGATAAAAATTTTGATATGCATAGCATTTTCACGAGAAACACTATACACCGAGTGTACTACTTTGGTATCATAACCGAAAGGGGTTGTGATTTTTTGATTTATTTATAATTATAAATTACAAAAATAATAAAACATATCAAAATAATAAAATATAAAAATATTGTACATGTTATTTTATTTTGATTAGTGAAAAATAAAAATAAAAACTATACCGAAAAATCAATTATTGTCAGTGAAATATCTAAAAACATGATGAAAAATATACCTCAGATATTGACATATGAGTATATATAAAAAAAAATGTTTAGTTTAGCCCGGGATAAACAAAAATCATGACTCCGCCCTTACGGATAAGTCTGTTGTACCCACAAATATCGAAGTTGATTGGGAATTAAAAATTTTAATTTTGATTATTTTGTAATTATTAATTACTAAATTCATAAGATAATATAAATAATGAAATAAATAATTTATACTTTTTAAAATCTATTAGATGAAAAGTAAAGTTATGACATTAAGAAGTTACTTTTTGATATTGTAGGAGAATTTTCAATATTGACTCAAATTTTTATTCAAATTTAAATTATTATTTTAGTAAAAAATTAAATTTTATACGAAAGACTGCAATATTAAAATTCACGATTTATGTTAGATTTGCGGTTTATTGACAAATGCAAGGCTCTCAACTATCTCACATACTCGTCGGCTCGAAAAAATGCGTATGGTCAATACAAATTTAATTTTTATACTGCTTTAATAGATGCCATACCCCCCCCCCCCCCCCCCCCCAAAACAAAAAAAAAATATCTCACTAAAACTCACTTCTCACATGATTCCATTGCACGAGCAATTTTGCCACCTCTTCCCTCTCTGTCTCTATATATATATATAGATTTGATTTGATTTTGATTATCTTTCTCTCTTCTCCTATGTTCCATCTCTTTCAAACCTTTTCCCTCTTTCACCAATGACAGCCAAAGCCACCCCCAAAGGGCCCAAAACTTTCCTACTGTGAACACCAATGGACTGCAACATGGTTGTGTGACCGTGAATTAGATCAATGGATTTCATTTTGCCACGGTTTTCTTTTTCAACTAGCCTACATGTAGAAATCGAAGTGGTTGTCTTTTCTAAAGAAAGGAAAGGACATGCGCCTGCATACTAAAAAGAAAAACATGAGAACCATGGATAATGCTATGTTTATTAAAAGTTTTACTAAAAAGTGATTTTATCAAATGAATTAACAACTTTATATCCAATCAAAAATATTTTAATTAGTTATTTGGTGAGTTCAAGAGTGATTTGGAGTTGCCAACTCATTTAATAAAAATATTTTTTGATAAAAATTTTGATATGCATAGCATTTTCACGAGAAACACTATACACCGAGTGTACTACTTTGGTATCATAACCGAAAGGGGTTGTGATTTTTTGATTTATTTATAATTATAAATTACAAAAATAATAAAACATATCAAAATAATAAAATATAAAAATATTGTACATGTTATTTTATTTTGATTAGTGAAAAATAAAAATAAAAACTATACCGAAAAATCAATTATTGTCAGTGAAATATCTAAAAACATGATGAAAAATATACCTCAGATATTGACATATGAGTATATATAAAAAAAAATGTTTAGTTTAGCCCGGGATAAACAAAAATCATGACTCCGCCCTTACGGATAAGTCTGTTGTACCCACAAATATCGAAGTTGATTGGGAATTAAAAATTTTAATTTTGATTATTTTGTAATTATTAATTACTAAATTCATAAGATAATATAAATAATGAAATAAATAATTTATACTTTTTAAAATCTATTAGATGAAAAGTAAAGTTATGACATTAAGAAGTTACTTTTTGATATTGTAGGAGAATTTTCAATATTGACTCAAATTTTTATTCAAATTTAAATTATTATTTTAGTAAAAAATTAAATTTTATACGAAAGACTGCAATATTAAAATTCACGATTTATGTTAGATTTGCGGTTTATTGACAAATGCAAGGCTTTCAACTATCTCACATACTCGTCGGCTCGAAAAAATGCGTATGGTCAATACAAATTTAATTTTTATACTGCTTTAATAGATGCCATACCCCCCCCCCCCCCCCAAAACAAAAAAAAAATATCTCACTAAAACTCACTTCTCACATGATTCCATTGCACGAGCAATTTTGCCACCTCTTCCCTCTCTGTCTCTATATATATATATAGATTTGATTTGATTTTGATTATCTTTCTCTCTTCTCCTATGTTCCATCTCTTTCAAACCTTTTCCCTCTTTCACCAATGACAGCCAAAGCCACCCCCAAAGGGCCCAAAACTTTCCTACTGTGAACACCAATGGACTGCAACATGGTTGTGTGACCGTGAATTAGATCAATGGATTTCATTTTGCCACGGTTTTCTTTTTCAACTAGCCTACATGTAGAAATCGAAGTGGTTGTCTTTTCTAAAGAAAGGAAAGGACATGCGCCTGCATACTAAAAAGAAAAACATGAGAACCATGGATAATGCTATGTTTATTAAAAGTTTTACTAAAAAGTGATTTTATCAAATGAATTAACAACTTTATATCCAATCAAAAATATTTTAATTAGTTATTTGGTGAGTTCAAGAGTGATTTGGAGTTACCAACTCATTTAATAAAAATATTTTTTGATAAATATTTTGATATGCATAGCATTTTCACGAGAAACACTATACACCGAGTGTACTATTTTGGTATCATAACCGAAAGGGGTTGTGATTTTTTGATTTATTTATAATTATAAATTACAAAAATAATAAAACATATCAAAATAATAAAATATAAAAATATTGTACATGTTATTTTATTTTGATTATTGAAAAATAAAAATAAAAACTATACCGAAAAATCAATTATTTTTTCATAAAATATTTGGATCCAAATTTGAGACATTACACCCCCTCGGCAAATACTTGTTCCTTCAATTAAATGCAAAAAGAGGTGTTATAAACATGGAAGCAGGGTTGTATATTATATTATTAGTAGATCCAAATTTGGGTGCCGTCATCTGAAAACTAATATTATTTTTGAAAGTAGATCCACTAGACCTTTGAAAGTAGATCCACGTGGTTGAAAATCCATAACATTATTCTTTGTTGACTCGCTGGATATGAGCCTCACCATCAGTGACGGAGACTCGCAGGTCCCACATGAATGAAGAAACATCAATTCAATCACGACAAAACAGAAAACGTTGATGTTTGGTTGCTGAGAAAGAGTAGAAAAAGAGCACAAATTAGACCATAGATCTTTGAAATATTCATATTTTGGTCGGCAGTATTCACTCACAGAAGAGTTTAACTTCAAAAACATCACACACAAGAATCTTAAACTAAAACATGTACACAACGAAATTGAATCTTCAATCCGTACGTGCATTGGATTCATTATTTTTCCAAGAAACACATAATACAATAACAACAACAATTACAACTATTAACACTCAACTATAAAATTTTATACTGTGGAACTTATAATCTTTCCCAGATTATGTGTCCATGGAGTTCCACGCCCGCGTGCACCACATAATGATTCCCATTTCCTGAGCGATAAATCCTTAGAAACTCCCCGGCTCGAAGATTATTTGCCACTGCAAAGGCACGCCATTGGCGCGTTAGAGAACGTCTCCCATCTGCCCTTTCTGATGCTATGAATTCATATATGTTTCCTTCTTGGTCAATTACACGCATGACCGCATTTCCAATCGGCAAAAAACGTGCCCGGTTGGGTATTTCCAGGTTGCGAGCGACATCTGTAGCTGTGAGCAGTTTTGTAAAGCACTCTTGGAGATCCATTTCTTCAAAAAAAGAAAAGAAGAATCATTAAGTCATTACGGAATAAGCAATAAGAGAAAGGTCTATGCAATAATACAAGGCAATCAATGGTGGTGACCTTATTCAATTGCAAGAAACAGAGAGAATTAACAGAGATTAAAGCTTCAAATGCCCCCAGTATGCTGGGCAGGCACTGGGTCTGGAGTTATGTGCTTAGAAAGTGCAATATTTCCTGGCAACAGGTTCCATGGAATGGTTTTATCTTGCAAGAAGCTACAGATTGGAAGGGAAGAAGCCTACCAAAAGTAATTAGGAAATTGTGCAGCATCTACAGTTTATTCTTTATGGAGAGAAAGAAATCATTGGTTTAATACAATTGGTAATTAAACCAATGAAGTAGACAAGATTGTACTCCTACAATTCGTTTAATAACTTTAATTACAAAAAAAAAAAAATTACCACAGAGAAACAAAAACAGAGAGAGAGAGAGAGAGAGAGAGAGAGTGCACACCTGGATAGAGATTCTGGGAGCTAGAGAGGGTCTGTTGAACTGAAATGTTGAAGACAAACACCAAGATTTATGGATACAGGGGTTGGATAGTGGTGTAGAGACAGGAGAGTGAGATGTGAATAAATGACTGGCTTATCACTTTATGCTAGCTTAAGATTTGTCAAACTAAGGTTCACTTAATGCTAGCTTAAGATTTGTCAAACTAAGGTTAAAAAAAAAAGTAGAAGAAGAAGAAACTTGCCCAATCAAGAGCAATGAAGTGAGGAAGCGATCCAAATACGTTGGTTGTCACCAGTTATGCAAACAAAGAGTATTGTATACAGGACCACATAAATCTCATGGGACCGACTTTGTCCATGATTTATAAATAAAAAAAAACGCTAGGAATCTAGCCAAAAAAAGCTAGAGCTAGAAAATATACTACAACTGTTATCAGAGAGAAACAAAAACTGTCAGAGAGAGAGAGAGAGAGAGAGTTCAGACCTGAGAGCTTGAGAGGTAACTTCTGATCTAAACTGAGAGTCTGTATTTCCCAAGGATGGCAAGACGGAAATGAATAGAGAGAATTGTAACTTGAGAATGAGAGGGGAAGGAATGATTTCCTTGAGCCTTAGAACCGATATTTATACCTGTTTGAACCCACTCAACTACCATTTTTCGAAAAAGAAGATCTTTTCAAAGTAGAGATGCTTATCGTTTCTTAGTGGTTTGTTTCTTTGATGGTATCAAAAAGTGTAGAATTGCTCAGAGTTTCTTAGTGGTTAGTTTCTTTGATGGTCCCATTGATCTTTTATAATTGCTTTCTTAGTGGGTATTGGATCAAAAAAAAAAAATTTCCTTCTGGGTCCCATTGATCAAAAAGAGTGGAAATGCTCAGAGTTAGCTAAGCACGTGGCAAGGGAAAATATTGCATTAGCTGGATATGACCCTAAAACACGGGTAACTAAGGCCCTGAGATACCCAAGTATTCTTGAAAGTAGAATTATTAAGGTTGACTTATAATTTTTCATATCCAAGTTCTTTTTTTTTTGAATTTCAGCAATCCTAACCTTTCGAACCAGACTAATGTTAGACCCACGCGCAAAATTGACTCTCCACGCATAGGGGGTAAATCTAGGACCAATAACCTTAAAGAGCGTTTGTACCTAGTAAGTTTTGAACCTTGACCGATATCAAATGAAAGTATTTATCAAGTGACCCTTGACCCTTGAACCACTGGGCTAACCTCTTGTGATTTTTCAAATCCAAGTTACTATTCAAAGAAATTATAATAATAATCGATCAAGACATTTGTGATATATAATGATATTTCTGATTAATCATAAAAACCCTCAATTAAGTATTATAATTTCACCAAATCAAATATTAAAATTTTTAATGTGGTACCAAATTTTTTTAAGAGTTATGCATACTTCTGTCCTAAGTACTAAGTGGGTTACTAGATTTATTATTCGTTCAATCTAATTTGTGCTTTAAGATAATCTAACTGTTTTTATGGGAAATGTTACATAACTCATGAAACCAAAAGTTAAAACTCAAATACATATTATTTTTTTAGATGAGCATTGAGTGAGTGGGTCTATTGAAAAAATTAATGAGATCTAATCATCTAAGATATGATATGTTTGTAAATTATTATTTTAAAATTTTATTTAAATTTTTTAACATTGCTTAGTGTATACATCGGGAACGCTGCAAGTATTATTGAACTGTCCTCCGCACAAAGTGGGTGTCAGCGAGATGTAGACTGAATAATTCGTTTGAACTCTGGCTCTCCCTTTTTTTTGTCATATTATAATGCTTCATGCATTGAATAATTCGTTTGAACTCTGGCTCCCCTTTTCAATGTATTTATGAAAAATAATTTTTAAAAATATTTTTAAAAAATTATTCAAAACACACTTTTATGAGTCTATTTTTTTTATTAAATTTAAAGTGTTAATATTAACCATTAGATTAACTTTAAAGTAAAATTTAAAACAATCTCAACCACGAAAATAAAAGTCATCTATATAATAAAATAACTTACAATTCAAATATCAAAAAATAAACAAAATAACTTTTGTTATTCGCGATTAAGATCATTTTAAATTTTACTTTAAAATTAATCTAACAACTAATATTAACACCTTAAATTTAATACGAAAAGTAGGCCCCTAAGGGTGTATTTGGCGTGACTTTTTAAAAGTTCTTTTGGAAATTATTTCTCATAAATACTTTTAAAAAATAGTGTTTGAAACCGCCACACCACTATCTCTACCACTACCACCCCCACCACCACCACCACCGCCGCCACCCCTGCCACCATCATCATCTTCGTCATCGCCACCGCCACCGCCTCTCCCACCACCACCCTGAAGGCACAGAATAATAAATAATAATAAACAATAAATATATTTGTATTCATTTCTAAAATCAAATCACAAACATAGAGAAGAAATAAAGAAATTTAAGTATCGAGTTGCAACAGGAATAAGAGTTGGTGGACGGCAGCGGTGGTGGTAGGAGACGATGATAATTGTGGTGGGTGGCAATGATCGTGGTGGCGACGACGATGGTGATGGTGGTGGTGGTGGTGGCGGTGGGTGGTGGCAGCAATGGTCAGCCTTTCGCTGCTCCCATGGTCATAAGACCTCCTTTTGGCCTTTCGTTGAGGGAGGTTCTATTTGCTTATGAGTGGCGTGACTAATTGAATTAGGAAACTACTGCAAAAAGTCATCTATCAATTAATTACTTTTTCCAAGTGCATACTTCTCTTTGTTTTGAGACTTTTTAGATAAAAAAATTTTTAATTCCTACTGTTTTATATATTTTTTTTGAGTATATATTATCATATTTTGGGTGAAAATTATTAATTTTTATGATGCACTTATTTTTTGAATTCACTAATTATTTTTTGGATTTACTTATCAATTTTTTGGATAGAGCTTGTTATTTTTTGGAAGAAAACTTATTATTTTTTGACATTTGAATCAAAAAATAAAATTTTGACCAAAGTATTTATCATATGTTGATTACCAAATTAAGGTGAATAGTTGGAACATTATTAAGTTCCATTAGCATTATGGGTCGCACGGATATCACGTGGCAGATCCAACAAAAAGAGTCGAAATTTATTATATTTGTGAGTATTTTTATTATTATTATGGTAGTCAAAAAAATAATAAAAATAATTACCACAACATTTAAAAAAATATCTATAATAATAACAAAATGACCCACAAATGTGATAAAAGTACCTAAACATATAGTAATTTTTTAATACTTAAGAAAAATCATAAAAATAATTATCACAATAGTGGTAAAAATACTCAAAAAATAATAAATCAACCATAAAAATACTAAATATTTTTTTTTTTGAATTGTAAAATGACCCATAAAAATTATAAAAATATTCTCTTAAAAATTAAATTTTAGAAATATGGTACCAAATTTTTTTTAATGTTATCGCTGTCAAATCCAATTATAAACTTGGTTAAAAAATATTTGGTGGAGTATCAAAAAAAATACTTTTTGATGTAGGCTGGGACAAAAAGGTCAAAGCATATCCTGATAATAGAATGAAAATAAATGATTAGTAGCTAACCGACAACTTCGTGTTCCGACAAACAAAAACCAGTCGTTGTCCGACTAACCTACTTTCTGTGTATCCAGATTCCCCGTACGGATATTACATGGCTGACTTTCGAAGTCAAGACAAATTGTGTTCCCTGGTTGATTACTGACACCCAACTTTAACATGTAGTGACTAGCAGCCGCTTTCCATTGTAAGTGACAAGCCGCCATTTATAGAATAATTGATAAGCACACAACTAATTAAGAAGCATAATTCTATTAATTAAGGAGTCGTATAGTAGAAAAAATAGAAAATAGAATAATTGATACATTTTATATTCTTTAATGCTCTGTTTGGTACGATGAAAAAGTGGGAAGATGAAAAGTTAGAATGATAGAAAGTTAGAGGGATAAATAAAACATCATATTTGATAAGGAAGGAAAGTAGGAAGAATGAATAAGTTGATGGATTAACTTTTCTTCCAACTCATCAAAATTAATCCCTCTAAAGTCGAAAGAAAAATGAATAAAAAGTTAATTATTTGTGTTGACATGTATATATATATATATATTAAAAAATTTTAAAAATAAATTTAAAAATTTAAATTAAGAAAAAAAATTTCATCTTAACTAAAGGGTGAAAATTTTCGACTCAACAAGATGACACGACTCAAACTCGATACGAAACTATACAGGTCAACTCGTAATTCAACACGACATAATTAGTTAAATAAGTTAAGTTAGGTTTGACTAATATTCGACACAAACCCGTAATGACTAAACACAAATCTGATACGACACGACCAATTATTACCCCTACTCTTAGTCAGCACAAAAAAAAAAAAAATTAGTCATTTTTATTTTTCATCCGTCCAACCAAACACAAAGAAAGAAAAATGTATCGTTCCTACTTTCTATCCTTGAAGGATAGAAAGTGTATCTTTCTTACTTTTTATCCTCTTTATCAAACAGAGCATAACTATGAACATGTTTCAGACATATTCAGATTAATTTGAGCATATTGGATTCATTTTATAATCTTTTGATCAACTTGACTATTTATTATTGATGTGCATTTTAACATTGAGTTTAAAACTTAACAGAAATTTATGATACTGCTCACAAAATTTTAAAATAAAAAAATACATAGTATATCCTTTAGTGTACATATATTTAATTTTGATATTAATTTTATTAGTCATTAATAATGAAGTCGTCAAACAAAGCTATCAAAGTATAAAAATTTATTAAATTAATTGTGACTAATTATAATTAATCTTATTTTCAATAAAAGATTAGATTTAATCTTTTTTTTTTGGGTACAAATGTATGTATAAATTTGTAAGAAATAAAATAGTGTAAATATGTAATCTTTTTTTATCGATTAGGATAAAACATATTAGACTATCCGCCCTAATACATTTTTCTTCCTCCGTCATGTCCACAAGTTGCTAGCGACTCACGTCCATCTTTCCCTTAAAATTGGGCTCGACAGATCAATGTATGTGAGGGAAAAAAACTTATGATCTCATGTCAAACCACCAAAATCAATCGAACAACCAACCACAATCTCTCGGCATTCAAGGACATAAAAACTAAGTTCCATATTCATCTTGCTCCACCCCAAATGGGTGAAGAAGCCTGTAAGCAAATGTACATAGATACTTAACCAAAAAAACAAAAAAAATGTACATAGATATCATCAATATATTAAATTGGAATAATTTGGAAAAGTCAATGCAAACCTTCTCCAAATATTCATCCAAACAAATCTTTAGGATGGTCCGTAGCCTTGTTTCTCAAGCTCGGAGTGGCAACCTTAGAATAGCCTAATACTCCGTTTTGTACGATTGAAAAATCGAAGGATGGAAAGTTAAAAGGATAGAAAGTTGAAAAAATAAATAAAACATCATGTTTAGTAAGAAAGAAAAGTAGGAAATATGGAAAAGTGGATTGATTAATTTTCCTTCCAACTCACCAAAATCAATCCCTCCAAAATCGGAAGGAAAGTGGATAAAAAGTTAATTATTTGTGTTGAGACGTATCTTATTTGTCTATATATTTTTTTATATTTACATATATTAATTTCATATAAAAATACAATTGTAAAATATATATATATATATATATATATATATATATATATATATATATACAACTTTTAAATTTTTAAATTAAAATATATATTTTTTTCATCTTAACTAAGGGTGAAAATTTTCGACTTAACACAATAATACGATTCGAACTCGATATGAAAATAAACAGGTCAACTCGCAACTCAACACGACACAATTAGTTAAATGAGTTAAGTTAGGTTTGACTAATATTTGATACAAATCCGTAATGACTCAACACAAATCTGACACGACACGACTCGAGTGTCACCCCTAATTTTAGTCAGTGCAAAAAAAAAAATAGTTATTTTTATTTTCCATCCATCCAACCAAACACAAATGAAGGAAAGTGTATCCTTTTTATTTTTTATCCTTGAATGATAGAAAGTGTATCTCTCCTACTTTCCATCATTTCAACTTTTTATCCTCCCTACCAAACGGAGCATAGAGGGCTGGGCTAAGGTTAGATAGCCATGGCCCGAGGTTGTGCCATCCTGTGCTTGGGCCAATGTGTTCCAATCTCAGGTGTCTCAATATTACCTAAACTAAAAACATTTTTAATGGTGATTCAATTTTTTATGTTTCGTTTTGGTAAGAGAGATAAAAAAAATTAAAAAAATGGAAAAGTGTGAAAAAATAGACCTTTTCTTCTTTGTGTTTGGTACAATGATTGAAAAATTAGAATAATTAATTTTTTATTGTTTGGTATTGTAGAAAAAGTAGAAGGAAAGAAAAGATACATGTATTTAATTTATCATTAAACCTTTACATATAAAAATATTTTTTTATTATAAATAATTTTTCAAGATTGAGTATCGCTCTGATTAGTTATAAAAATAAATAAATATAGATATGTATCTCAAAAATAATAGCCAAAAAATATACATAGGAAAAATATATGTAATAGGATATTCATAAATGTTATTTGAGAAACGTACAAGTTCTGATTTAAATTATGACATAATGATTATAAGTATATTTAAGTGCTAAAAAAGTCAATTTATTGAAAAAAAAGTAGTTTGTCTTTAATTTTTCTCTCACTTTTCGTCCCACTTTGGGGATTAAAAAAATGGTGGGCTAGAGGGAAACACTTTCCCTCATATTTTCCTTTGTAACAAAACAATGAAAAGTCTTTCTTTCCATCCCATTTTGCTTCCATCCAATTTTTCATCAAACCAGACACACTATTACTAAAATTTAAGTAAAAAAATAATTAAAAATTTTAATTTGAAATAGACTTCTTCGGTCGACAAACTCAAATTATACTCAAATCTTTTAGGATAATTTCCATACTGTCCCAAGATTTTTTCCAAAGTATTAGTATATTAATCTGATAAAAAGAGGGGAAGAGGGACAAAGAGAAACACACACAAAAAATCTTTGGAATCCTTAGCAAAAAGGTTTAAAAAATCAGAAAATGTTAGAAATTTTTACCACTTCAAGACTCTTATTTAAAATTAAATCATGACTTCAATGAGGGTCCTCCTATCTTTCTCAAGGCCGGCCCAATAACTAGGCAGAAGAAGTGATCACTTTAAGCCCTATCTAAAATGAAGGCCTCATTTTTTATGAGTCTTCAATATGATCCAAACCAAAAAAGATTAAACTCAAATAAAATTGAGTCCAAGCAAAAAGGCCCTATGTAACTCAAACTAACAAAAGATTTTTAACAAAATTGTGCCCAAAAGTGTTTGTGGCATAGCAAACGTAAAAGGCTCACAACTCATTTGGTTAAAAACATAAAATTTTAACCCAAAAAAAAAATTATATGACTGTCACATGCAAAAATGAAAAAGACAATAATCAATATCATTAATTATTCTTTCTAGTTGGTTGATTACATCAATCAAACACACTCTCTCTCCTATGTCTTTCCGATTAAAACATCAACTCTCCTCTCTCTCTCACACACACACACATAATTTTTATTTCCATCTAAAAATAAAATATAGGATTCTCCCTCCCCTTTGTCTTGTGACCATCTTTTTAATTCACACAACAAAGGTCATTAAATCAGCCCCAAGATATTATTTTATACTTGCACTTTCTCTTTTACAATGTTATTTTGTACAAAATATAGTTCCAATCAACTAATTATATTTGTTTAATTTTTTTATAGATGATATTAAAGGAGAATCACATTATAATATCCTAAGTTTTAGGAACACTATTGATAAAATTAAGTGTTATTGTTTTATAATTTTGATTTTTATTAAGTTTTTTCTTATAGAGAGTATTTGATTGATTTATAAAACAAAAATTGGATTGTCAAAAAACTGTGGGTACTAAAAAACAATAATTCAAATATGGAACTTAAAAAAAAGAGAAAAATAGATAAACTTATTGAACCACAAAAAAAAAAAGACCTCTTAATAAATTTATTATTAGTAATAACAAATAACAAAAGATTTAAGTGAATGTTTTGAAATAAACAAGTGATAGATCTTAAATAATTAGAAGATATTGAAATTATATGATGAAAAAATAACAAATAAAATTTATATAATTATTAGGAATATCACGTGTCTGAAGGCACTGTATATAATTTTTAAACATGAAATAATCAAATAATGAATATAAACATCTATTAAGCTGAAAATCGTTTGATCATTTTTAATGTTATGACTTTAGTGAAATAAAAAGGGTCAAAATGTGATACTCTGTCAAAATGTGGATATTCTGTAAGAAACTTTCAATTTTTCGATAGAATATCCTCTAAAAATATGATGCCACAAATATATTAATCTGTTTACAAAACTTATATATTTCATAATCATAATCACATCATGTCATATGCACACTGAAATCCAACTACAACCCAATTACCACATATCATAATAGATTTGGATAAACAAAATTCAAATTGAACATAATCAAACCCCATTCAAACAATTTCGGAATTAGCATCCAATGCAACACCCTAAACACAACGATTTGTGCAGCTAATCCAAGAGCTGGCAGTCCTTCAATCTCTCTCTTGTCAGCTATTAATTTTTCAAATTTCTTTGTAGCATCCAAAACATTCTCCTCAAATTTCTGACTAAGTTTTGCCAGATCCTACAAATCAATTCCCGATGAAAGGCAAATAAACACTTTGTTCACACTCCATTGGACAAATTAAGATTTGCAATCTAATGTATTTTAGTGAGAAGAAAAAGAACTGAAGCCTTCAAACCAGTTCATTGCCAAAAGACCGAAAAAGTGCATAGAACACTGCATAATTTGCAAAGCATTGCAGTAAAGGTCTCCATGATTCAGCAAACTATTTCCCATCCCCATCCAAATTTAGAAATTTAATGTATGAAGACAGCATGCACGTCCTATGGTATTTCAGTTGTGCTAAGAATACAAAATAACATTTAAAAGTGTCCAGTAATGAGAGATAAAATACATAAAAATGAATCAAATAAAAGGTGTCCGATAAAGGGAAATATTTAGTAGAAAATTTACCTTAAACCATGAAATGGATAGACAGCGTACCTGTTGAATAGTGAGAAGAAAAAGAATTGAGGCCTTCAAACCAATTCATTGCCAAAAGACCGAAAAAGTGCATAGGACACTACATAATTTGCAAAGCATTGCAGTAAGGGTCTCCATGACATATATTCAACTTTTTCCTCTCTTTCTTTGCACATATTTTTCTAAAAACTTAAGCTATTACAACGGTGTAATTTAAATAGTAGATTAAAGAAAAACAATGGGAACTGTTTAGAAAGCCCATAATGCCTTCATTCAGCCAATGTTAGTCAATTTGCTTGAACACATTCCACCACTTGCACTATCCAATATGTAGTAAGAGTAATGATAACAGACAATCATAAATTGTAGAAACATGAGATAACCTTTGAGATGAATTCGTATAACAAATACTATTCAAAGTGCCCGTTCCACACAATTATAATAAGGAAGAAATCCGATATAGTCAAATAAGCAACGACATTTGGCAAATAACCCAATTCATATCCACCAAAAGCATCATCAACAAATCCAATGAACTCCCACATCATATCTCTACAATACAGAGAAAAAATATAATGTCAACATCAAAATTGTACCAAAAAAGCACTAAACTCCATATCGTCCAATTATGGGTCTTCGCCAATCTCCTTGCCAGTGCATGTATTCAGTATGCTACATCTGCTCGAGGCCGAACCGCCGATGTGGTAGCGAAAATTTATGTGATTAAAAAAAACATATAACAAAGAACCATTAAAAAATGAAATAACCTTTGAGATGACCTATAATCAATAATAAAATAAATTGCCCCTAATGTATAATAATTTACACTGACACCCCTAACAGATTCATATATTGGTGACATGAGTCAATATTCCAAATGAAAAAAAATGTTGGATAAGAAATAAAGTAGAAATCAGAGACCGACTACAACGTGGAAAACTACACGAATTTCATTAGTTTTGCCACTCATAAATTGGTGAGGGGTTTCATCTGATACATAGTCGCAAGTGTGTATTTTCTTCCATTATCCCAAAAAAATAGGATACCAAAGGCTTGAAAATATATGATTTTCTCTGATATTTTCAATACTTTCTTTGCAACCAAACACAAACCATAACTACTATTCTTACATTGAACCCAGCCAAGGACTTCTCTCCATCAAAACCCAGATACTGAAGAGCTCTGCTTCCACTCTCAACAGCCGTCACTACACGTTCGAAATTCAAATCGATTTCAAAAACAAATGAAATCACGAAAAAAAAAGAAGCTACAATCAAAACAACTAATCAGAACATACCTTTGCAGGCCAAGATCTTCAACAATCACTCGATGACCTTTCGATCTAAGTGGCTGTCATCGACAGCTAGCACATGTAGCTCCGACGTTTGATCCAAAACTTCCCTCTCTTCTCCACTGTTCTCGCCATTTGCCTAAGTATGTGGTTTCGTCAAATACACACTTACGATTATGGAAGGAAATACACACTTGCGACTAAATGGGTTTCATCAGATAGATATATATAGAATTTCATCAGTTTTACCAACCATAAAGTACATATAATTTATGTCACCCTCGCCCTCATCCCTGCCAATTACAATTAAGTTTTGAGATTTTAAGACATTTTTTAAAAAAAAAAAAAACTATAATAATTAAAGTACAATTTGTACTGTTGTATGTTTGTATCACATGATATAATCAAAATAAAAAATAAAGAAATAAGTTAATAACATATTCTTGATATAACTGAGCAAAAACAATAACAATAATAAAGATATATATTTATGTCTTTCTTAGCATCTTGA